TACTGATTCAATTTCTTGTTTGGTCAAGTCATTGCCTTTCACGCCTGTTGTAAATGCAGTTACGTGATCATGTGGGTAGTTGTGCCATCATATTTCGAGATGTCTGGCATTTTGAACTTTTTAGGGATTGGAAGGGGAGCAGCACTTGGTTTCCAAGTTTGTTGTGAGTATTTATCCACATCCACTCCTTTAATTACAGGGGAAACTCTAGGGATTTACTCAATGCGCTCATTTTGTTCCTTAAGCTGTTTCTGCAAAGTTAATACTAAATTTTGCAAATGAGAATTATTTGAATTACCTGGTTCACCTTCCTGTGGTTCACTGGGGGTTCCTCCATCTCTAGAATTAACAAGGCCAGAATGAGGATTCTCCAATGTATTATTATTAGGTGTAGGTGTGGGTGGTGTAACAGGTAATCGACTAACTAGAGCCTGAAGAGCTTTGTTAACCCGTGCATCAATTACTTTTTGTAAAGCTTCATCCACCCCTTCAAAATGTTCAGATTGCTCTTGTTGATCAGTACGAGATTCAGGAGCGGGAGTGCCTTCACGAGATTGACGTGGTGAATTTTGAGGGGAGGGAACCACGTCGATGTTCTGTAAATCTCCTTGATTTTGATGGATTTGATTTTCATGGTTTCCCAAGGTGTTTTCACTATTATTGTTGTTTGACATGATGATAACAACGGCTGGAATGTAGCTTAAAAGAGAAGATTATCAGATTCCCGGTAACGGAACCAATTTGTTTAACCAAAAATTTGAGTCTTTGGTCAAAGCTTTAGAAATATAGAGAAATTCGGGTTACTGATAATCTAGAGACGAAAATAATAAAAGACTTTAGAGAATAATAAGTAATTTTGTATTTCAGTATAATCTCAATAATATTTCTTGTCCTTACAGATGTTGAGTCTTTCTCCTTTTATAGTTGATTCTAGGAGAAGATGTAATGTCTTTGTCTTAATGAGGCAATTATGAGCAATAAATGACATTTAAAAGAAACGCTACACAATCATTTCTATTTAATTCAGATTCTCTAATGTATTTGATATTTAATGTTGTATTTAGATTCTTTTACGTCATCAGATTCGTATCTTCAACTTTTTCCGATCTTTGATCTTTAAATGACTCGAATAGGTATGAGACTCGTACCTACTTTAGTAACGGTCCACACCTATGTTGCTTTCTTTTCCCCATATCTGTTGTCGCCCGTGCCTCTTGGCTATTTATTGCGTTTTGACCTTTTGACCAGTCCACGTGTCATGACACGTTATCTTCAATATTCAGACACAGTTTTTTCCCAGTACAGTTACTGTAGAGAACTTTTGCAGTTCTTCATGAAATTAGGTGTGAGGAGTTGTTGAATGAGGAGCTAGAAAAGGTGAAGTTCTAATCATGCAAGAGTTGGAGAGTTGGTCTCTCCTGTGAAACTCAAGAAGAAGAGGGAGCTACTATGGATAATAGGTAGCTCATATTTGATAGGTAAGAGATGAACTTCTCACTTCCTAGGTAACTATTAGAAGTTTTGTAGGTGCTTTAAATTTTAATGAATGGTCATGTATTTCGTTGATTGGGGTATCAAAATTTTAGTTTATGAGACAAGCTGATGGATACTTATTGGTTTCACATGTATTGGAATATCAACCTCATAGCTTATAGAAGAGTATGTCAGACAAATGAATGGTTCACATTTCTGACCTTCGGGATAGAACACAAATTGAAGTGAGATATGTTTAAGTGGTACTTTTTATGTTTTATCATTTAGTATCTTAAATACAATGAAATTGATCCAAGAAGAAAGTTCTTGACCTAAATGTCGACATAGGCCAAAGGAGGTAGTGACAAGATGCAATGTAATGCAAACGTCCCTTATGCCAAATTGCCAATTATCTGGGGTTCAGGGACCTAACAGGCAGTGAGGAGTATGCAATTTATGTGTTGTATTTTTGCCTTCTGAATTCTTTTTTCGCTGTAATATTAGAGCTTCTTGCAAAATTTTATGTGTGCGGCTGAAGGAGGTGCTGATATTGATGCATATACTGAGGAAAAGTACGTGCACTGGTATAAATTGGTACTGTCGTATTATACGGTGAGGGAACTTGGTTTCCTTGCTTGTCGCTCTCTATTTCCATGATATAAAACTATAAATCAAATATTTTGGTTTTTTCTTGATGATATGTAATTTCTGAAATTATGTTGTTTTATTATATGTTAGTGCCGGATATGAATCCGTTCAAAGGTTTATGCAACACCGATGTCATTAAGATGCATGATCTGGTTGATTGGGAATTGTGGATGACTCATATTAAGAGGCAAGAAATGAACTTTTCGTTTCCTCAGTAAACTGTTAGAAGTTTTTTTTCTGTTACTTTATTTTTCATATATTTGGTCATGATATTTTATTAACTGTGTTTTAGTGAATATTGTATATAAATATAAAAGAAGTGGATGGTACCTATTCGTTTCGGGCACATTGTTATATTACTCATGAAGAATTGGCTGCAAGAAAAAATAATATAACTTAAGAGATCTTTGCCAGACAGTTATCTTTTCTTCATGTTTAAGTAATAATATTTTCTTCTCTTTGTTTCTCTACCGTTCTGAAAAGATCAATGTGCACAACATAGAAGATATGATCCTCATATTTTTTCATGACTTAATTTGTATTAACATGTTTTGGTTTGTGTAAAGAGTAATTCTAAGATTGAGAGATAAAGTCTCTCTCACCCCACAACCATTTACTTTTCAAAGGGAAAAAAAGACTTCTATTCTGGTTATATCTGAGCACATATTTTTCAGGTGTTTAATTTAGTTAAGAATGCAATGTATAACAAGTCGAGCAAATGCAGATGGAAGTCGACTTTGAAAACAACTACTTAATTTCCATATTTCATAAAAAATATATAGGTAGAGTGCTTATAGCCTTATGGTGGACTAGAACTACAGAAATTTGGGTTTGATGTATTTTCAGGAACAACAAATGGTAATGTATGTGCATAGAAAATCAAATATGTACAAAGAGTTGAACTGTTAGATACTGATAGCTGCCTCTTTTGGTGGTAAGTTCGTGGCCTCCCAACTGGTTTGGCGGATTTAATAGAAGCAATTGGTTCGAGGACTGAATTTCTTGGAAGTTGCCATCATATTCAATATTTGAGACATTCTCACACAATCATTATTTATTGCTTCTACAGGTGTCTACACTGCCGTTATCATCGAAGACTGCAAAGAAAACTGATCATAGCATTATGAATGCATCACATGTTGTCTCTATGTAAATAATATTCTCATTGATGTAAAGAATTTGTCATCTTCAACCATGCAACATCCAAGAATAGATATTTTGTTTCTATATGGATGTAAATAGTTGTGACGATCAGGTCAGCCGTCTCATGAGTTACCGCTCTATTTTTTCCATTTCTGCTTCTTATTATTTTGTTTATCAGTTCTATATGTAATCGGGTTGGTTGGCTCGAGTTCAGAAAGGATTTGGTAAAGTTTGAGACACTTAGTCTCTTTTGAGGAAGCTTAAGTTAGAAAAGTCAATCGGATGTTGACTTACGTGTTAGAGGGCTCGGATGTGAGTTCTGATGGTTCGGATAGCTTCGGGAGGTGATTTGGAACTTAGGAACGTGATCGAAGTGTGTTTTGGAGGTCCGAAGTAGATTTAGGCTTGAATTGACGAAATTGGATTTTTGGCGTTTTCCAGTTGATAGGTGAGATTTTGATATAAGGGTCGGAATGGAATTTCGGGAGTTGCAGTAGTTCCGTTGTGTCATTTGGGATGTGTGTGAAAAATTTCAGGTCATTCAGACGTGGTTTGATATACTTTTTGATCAAAAGCATAATTCGGAAGATTTTGTAAACTTAGGCTTGAATCCGATGTGTTTTGGTTGATTCGATGTTGTTTGAGGTATTTTGAAGATTGGTACAAGTTTGGATGGTAGTATGTGACTTGTTTGTGCCTTTGGTTGAGGTCCCGGGGGCCTCTGGGTGATTTCGGGTAGTTGTCGAAAAGAATGGCAATTTGAGATGGCAGCTGAAGTTGTAGAGTGATATCATAATCGCATCTGCGGTTGGAGGCCGCAGGTGCGACCCCCGCTGATGCGGAAAGGAGTCGCAGAAGCGGAATGAGGCTAGGAAGGCTGTGACCGCAGAAGCGGTTGTGTAATCACACCTACGATGGCGCAGGTGCGGAGTGTGCATCGCAGATGCGGAATTTAAGACTTAAGTGAAAAATCGCAGAAGCGGTTCATTGACCGCAAAAGCAGTAAAATGGCTGCAGATGCGGAATCCCTGGTCCAGAAGTATAAAATGTTTCCTTCGCGAATTTTTGGCTAAGTTCTCTATTTTTGTAGACGGGAAGTGAGCTAGGACAGTGAATTCAAGGGTAAATCGAAGAGAATCAGTTGTGTAAGTTCCCTAAGCTTCATTACTTAAGTTTATGATCATTTTTCTATTGGTTAATCATGATATTAGTGGAGATTAAGGGTTAAAATTGGGGAAACTATGGCTTGGTATTGGAGCCTAGACTTGAGGATTTGAGGGGCCATTTGGGGTCGGATTTTGGGACTTCTGATATGTACGAACTCGTGAGGAGATAAAGAATCTATTGATGTAAATTTTATCGAATTCCGAGACGTGGACTCGGGGGTTGGGTTTTGGTAATTTCGGGATTTGTGTTGTAAACTGATAATTTTCGCATGGGC